TGCACGATGCCCTTGCGTATCAGCAGCGGCCGCACCAGCGCCAGCAGCGCGGGCAGCTCCATGCGGTGCCCCTTGAGCAGCAAAAACGGCAGCCCCCGCCGCGCCGCGCCCTGCATGTGCTGCTCCAGCCGCACGCGCCGCCCGTTCTCCCAGCGCTCCTTTGCCAGGACGCAGTGCGCCTTGCGGATGAGGTTGGTCACGCGCATGACATGGCTCAGGCCTGAGGACGCGAGCAGATCCTCCAAGTCACTGCGGGCGCGGGGTGGGACGAGGGCGGCGGCGGCGGGGCGGGGCGGCATGGGGCGGGGCGAATGGGCGGGCGTGCTGGTGGGCGGCGCGGCTGGGCGCGCGCTCGGGACGACTGTAATGGCTGAGTCGCAAGTTTGTTGGCGGGCAAAAACGCGTGCCGTGAGTTCAGCAGTTCGGAGGCACAATCGGCTGCACGGTGTGTGCACATGGGCAAGACCTGTGGCCCTGCCGGCAAGTGAGGGTCCCCCTGTGTGGCGGGCCCCCACCTCATGATGTAGCCGCCGCTCTTGAATATCACCAGCCTGCGCCGCGGTTGGGGCATTGCCTGCAGCACCTACATATAGGCAGGGGCAGACGGATAGTGCGGGGGAGAGATGCCGGTAGCAGTGAGGCGAGGTTGTCGGGAGATGCCGCAAATAGGGCTTGCCCAGACAGTGAGCGGTGCGGGGTTGAAACCCTGGCACATGGTAATGCTCATTTTCGAAACGAAGAGGCGCAAGACCGCAGAGGGGCCAACACATTTCATGCCGCTTGCCTCACACACAGCAAGCGGCTGCGTCGGCAGCTGCTAGGCAGCTGCTCGCTCACCTTCAGCAGCTCCCCAGGATCCGCCGGCGCCAGCGGCGGCACAGGCCACTTCTCTGGGCCGCGCCACGCCGGTGTAGCCGCCCCGGCTCGCGTGCCGCCGCCGTCGTCGTCCTCGCTGCTGCCTGCGTCGGTGCCCAACGGGAGCTGCAGGGGCACCAAGCTGGGGGATAGCTCTTCAGAAGGTCCTGCGGCCGCCTGCATCAGGAGCTGATCCCAGGCAACTTGCCGCGGCAGCGTCGCCGCCGCCTTGGTTTGGGCGACGCTCGTCGACACTGCAGTGTTGGTGCGGCACGCGGCTGCATAGCCTCTGGTGGTTCGTGCTGTTTGCCCTTGGGGCTGTTGCTGTTGGTGGTTGTGGTGGTGCTGCTTCTGCTGCTTCTGCTGCTTCTGCTGCTCATGGTGCTCCTGCTGCTGCTGCTCCTGCTGCTGCTGCTGCTGCTGCTGCTTGCCCTTCAATGTTGGGACGACCAACTGTGCACCAGAAGCCCCGCCTGTCCGACCAACCTTGCCACCGGCGCCGCGGAGGCCGGGCCGCCCCCTTCCCCCGAAGCTGCCGCGGCCGCTGCGGCCGCCACCAATGCGCTGATGCAGCACTGCCTCAACGGGCAGATCGGCCCTGGTGGGTGCTATGCTGTATGCTGCACGCCCAGCCTGGAGTGCTAACGAAGCACCATCTGCATGCTGGTGCCACTGCTCATGCTGCCATGGTCCCTCGCTGCAGACAGCCTCCCGCCCAGGCTGCTGCTCGTGCTGCTGCTGCTGCTGCTGCTGCTGCTGCTGCTGCTGCTGCTGCTGCTTTGCATGATGGCTGTATCGTTTGTGGCGCCTGTCACTGTCAGAAGCCGCGCCGCCATCGCGAGGCGCGGACATGACGCCCAGCTTTCGCGGACCGCGGGTGTCTGGCCCGGCAGCCTGCGCGCTTTGTGCACCGGCTCCTGTGTCCCATGGCGACTTCGCATCGCCATGCAGGCGCACCGGGGCCACGCATGGGTCGGCATCGCTGAGCGGGCCAGCTATTGCATGCCGTGCCGCCGCAACTGTGTGCTGCCGGCGCAGCTGCAGGGCGTGACCCCACTGAACGATGGCCGACGCCGGCAGCATGAACTGAATCTGTAAGCTGTGCGCGGTGCAAGTCGATGATGTTCCGTTGCACCAGCGGCGATTTCGTTTGGTCGTTCCAGCAGCACCTGTCAACCCACCCAAAGAAAGTAGTGCCACTCACTTTCAAGGGCTGCGTACATTTTGTCTGTCCAAGTCAACATTCGCTTTTGGCGGTCTATGCAAACTTGTGGGATCTGACGACTTCTTCCGATGCCGGGTATACGGTGTCCTGCGAGCCCTAGCATAGCAACTGTGAAGTTATTGCCACGCGTTTGGACACGCTTGAGCAGGCGACAGCGCGCAGTGCGCTGCTTTGCACAGGTGCGGCGGCGCAATGAGCGTTGAGCGGCGCGCGCGATCTCCGTGTCCTGTCAGTCAGGGCAGGCGCCATCGTATGTTTGAACAAAAACACCGCGTGCATGTTCGATCCTGACCGCACGCTTGGACGACGATCCCTCATGCCAACGGCGCCGCGCCGCTTTGCAGCAGCAGTGGGAGCAACAGCCGGACTCGCGCGGACCAGCTTGGGAGCCACCAGCGGGCGCCGAGCGGCCACCTGCCCCGCCGGAAACGCCCGGCGCACAGCTAACACAGCAACAGCAGCAGCAGCAGCGGCTCGCGGCGCGGAGTGCGCCGGGCACCGTATGGGTGCCAATCAGCGGCCCGCCCACAGAGGCAGACCCGGAGATACGCCGGATGCAGCACCCCTCAGACGCAGCGGAGGTCGCCCTGACCTCCATCGTGGACATCGCGTCGCAGCAGCAGCTGGCCATCGGCAAGCGGGAGGCACGGGAGCAGGCCGCCGCGCTCGCGTGAGTGCACCATTGCCGGGTCTGCGCCGGTTCTGTGAAACCCCTGCCGCGCCGCGGTTCCCCCCTGCATTCCGTCCCGACATAGGAGCGCGACCGAGCCCCGGGACCTTGTAGCTGACTGTGTTTTGGGCGCAGCCTCAGCCCTCATGCGCAAATTCGCAGCGCACCGCCATGCACGATGACACGTTGGGTGGCGTGGGTAGCCTTGCGGCGGCGTCTTCCGCCCCCCAACCAAAGCCGCCGCCGCCGCCGCCGCCGCCGCCCGCCAACCCCGCAGCACGGCGAGCGAGGAGATCCGCAGGTGGAAGGCGGTCGCTGACGAGGCGCTGGCCGCCAAGGCGCGGCTGCTGGAGCGGTCGAGGGAGCTGGAGGTGCAGCGGGACGAGGTGCGCAGACACTCGCGGCGGCGGCGCCTTGGGCGAAGCGTGGCGTGCGGCGTGTGCTGTCGCGCGTCGTCGTGGCGTATAGATCAGATCGTGATGGCGCCAGGCGGAGCGCGGGGATGCATGGTGGTCTCGGCGGTGTCTAAACTGCAGAGGTGCAAGGCGCAGACGGGGATGGGGGTTGCGCTATGGAAGCCCAAGGTCTGCGGCGCCGCGACTGTGCCGACTGTGGTCATCGCGCTGCACCTGGCCAGAAACCCCTCCGCCGCCCACCCTCGTTGCCGCTGCCACCACCTCGCAACAAAAGTCGATGTCCATCAACCGGGAGCTTCTGGCCGGCTACAAGCGGGTGGCCGGCGAGCTGCAGGAAGCTTCCGGGAAGGTGCGCGGCTACGAGGAGCAGCTGGTGGCGCTGAGGCAGCAGCTGCTCGATCTGAGGAGCGCGCTGACCAGCCCGGAGGCGGTCGGGGACGGCGGCAGCGGCAACGGCGCCGGCCCCGGCGGGGACGGCAACGGCAAGCCCTGGTGGAATGTGCTAGGTGGCACCGGCGGCGGCGCCGCTGGTGGCAGTGGGCGCAAGGAGGGCGGAGGAGGGGAGGCTTCTGGTGAGTCGCTGCGCTTGACCGTCTGCAGCGCTGGCGGGAGCAGCGTGGTTGCTGCCTGTGCAGCAGTGGCGGGTCGACTCCCTGCTGCGCTTGTGGCAGGTCGCGGGGCAGGGGCAGTTGACGCGCCCGCCATGGCTCGGCAGCCCGGGGTGTCTTGATCACCATACAGCAGCCTGAGGATGAAGAGGGGCCGGCAGCAACACCACCACGCGCCGCACGTCGCGCAGGCGCGGCCGGGGCCGCCCAGGCGGTGCTGCAGCTGCTGCAGATCAGCGGGCAGCTGGCGCGCGAGGCGGAGAGGTGAGGGCCGCCCGCCGCCCCAGTCGGCGCGGCGGGGCGCGCGTGGGGATGCTCGGCGGCTTGCCAAGCCGCCTGCAGTACGTTGCGATGAAATGCGGAGGGCATCCCTGCCATGCAGCCTGGCTGGCGCAGTGGCAAGCTCGTTTCGCCGTTCGTCTCGAGCTGGTTCCGCGCGGCGGCGTCGCCCTGCTCTGTTGTGCTGTGGCACTCAGTCGCCGCCCTGCACTCCACGCACCTGTTGACATGGTGACGCGAACGCACCCCGCAGGGACGACGAGAGGAGGGCCTTTTTCAACGCCCGCACGCAAACCCCCGCCTTTCCCCCACTCGGCACCAACGGCCGCGGGGCGGGCGGCGGCGGCGGCGGCGACGGGGAGAGCGACGGCAGCGGCGGCGGCGGCGGCGGCGCTGCGGGGCCCGGCGAGGGTCGTGCGGCGGTGGGCGGCGGCGGTCTCTCCCCGGAGGACGCCTGAGCTGGGGGTTTCATGGCCAGGCGGGCGGTAGCAGTACGCATCGCGTCCGCAGGCGGGCGCCCCGCCCTGCCAACAGCCACCCCAGGTAGCCGTCAAGCAGCACTAGGAGATGTTTTGTTATGAGACCCACATATGCACACACACACACACACTGTGATAATCGCCTACCCTATGTGCCCCTGTTGACATAGCGCGTCCCTCCACCATTCACGAGCGTCCTGTGGCGGCTTGGTGTTATGCTGAGAGGGGCACGCCTGGCCGGCACGCGCGCGCAGCCGCAGCCCGGAGGCGCCTGGGCCACAGCCCGGCATCCGTGTGCCTGGTGCTGCTCGTATTGATGTGCGACAACTGCATTCCCCCACAGCATCCGCTTTGCCGACACCAACGCATACGGGTGCCAGGTCATGCGTTACTCAGCGGCACTGCGGGGCCGCGCTTGACGCGTGGTACTAAGCGCGGCTCGCGGCGCAGAGCAAGCAGGTGTCGTGTAATGCTGCAGTGTCGCGCATCCGCCCTGAGTCAACGGTGGCGTGTCAAGGGAGCCCTGGTGAAACTGTTGGTTTAGGTCCGAAGGGTTAGTGATGGGAGCAGCAAGACCAGAGAGCGCTCGCACGCAGCCGTGCGCATGGCAAGGAATTACGGGATGCGGTCGGCTCGACGAAAAGGGGGCCACAGGCGGGAATCGAACAGGTGTGGATGGGGTTTCGCGCCGCGCCGGGCGCCGCGGCAGCGTACGCCGCCCAGCGCGGGCGCGGACAGAGAGGGGTGCCCGGCTCGTGGGCACTGGTGGAAGGCACATGGGCGCGAAATCGGGCGCTGACAGATGCATGCATGAGGTACTGGCAAAGGCTTGTCTTGGGGCCCCGACTGGCTGCCCCTCAGCAAGCTGTGGTGAGTCGGTGCAGGCTGTGGGAGCGGCGCGCAGCGCTGCACCAAACAGAGAGCGCGCGTCATCGGTGACTGTGTCGCAAGCGAAAGGCAATCCAGGCATAATTCAGGATAATGAAACCAGGGTGATACTCAATAAAATAATCAAATCCAGGCAGCCAGCTGGGCGGCCGGGCCGCCGACTGCAGGCGTGGCCACAACGCCACGCGGCGCTCTCAGCTGATGCCCGCGCCGGCCCCGGGCGCCGCCGCGCCGGCGGCCGCCGCCGCAGGTCCCCCTGGCCCCCGCGCGC